TTAAGGATTTTTTTTCCTCCTCTAGGGCGGTGTCTTTCTTTATTTATTTATTTCTTTTTTTGTTAATTGGTCTGATCGATTGTTGGTGTTTTGGGTCAGATTTTTTTTTTTTTTTTTTTTTTTGGGGGGGGGGTAGCTTTTGGGGTTTTAAATTTTTATTTTATTTAATTTATTATTATTATTTTTTTGTAGCTTTGTCTTTTTGTTGTTATTTGGAGGGGGAGGGGGGAGGGCAGTTTCCAGTGCCTTTCGTGAGTGTTTTTGTTTTGTTTTTGTTGTCTTTTGTTGCTGTTTTGATGAGAGAGGCTTGTTTTTTTGTTTATTTGTTGGAATAGCATTGTGATACTTCGGGGCTACTATCATCCTATTCTTTGTTGTTTTTGCTGTCCTTGTTTATGTTGTCCTTGTTGTTTTTGTTGTTTTTAAGGGTCTTAGAATTTATTTCTGTGATTTTTTGTTATTCACATTATGATATTTTGGGGTGTGGTGCTCCAACAGCTGTTTTTGTTTGTTTTTGTTGTTCTTGTTTGTTTTTGGGTAACGGTTATTGTTGTATTTTGTTCAAACGTGATGACAATGGTAATATCAATGAAATGAATAGTAATGTTTTTTTGTTCTTGTTTGTTTTTGTTGCTCTTGTTTGTTTTTGTTGCTCTTGTTTGTTTTTGTTGTTCTTGTTTGTGTTTTTGCGTAACGGTTATTATTGATTTTGTAAAACGCGATGATAATGGTAATATCAATGAAATTAATAGTAATGCATTTGTTGTATGTTGTATTTTATTTTATGGCACTCGTTGAAAGTAAGAATGACATTTATCGAAAAAGTTCTGTGTAGTTTTGCTCATGAAGGTGTTGTATGTTGGTAGTTTGTTTTCAATATTTGTTCAGGTATTTTCACTGAAGTTGATACTAATGAGTGAAAGAATTTTAAGAAATATTTTTTTCTTTTTTTTTTTCCTTCTCTTTCTTGCCTTCGTTGTCTTCTGCTTTTCCTTTTTCTTTTCTTGTCCCTCTAATCCCTTTCTCTCCCCCTTCCCCCTTCCTCCCCTCACCCCACCTACCTCTACCCCTCCCCCTTACCCCCTCCCCCTCTCCTCCCCTTTACCACCCTCCCCTCACCTCCCTATCTCCCCCCCACCTCCTCCTCTCCCCCCATATCCCACCTTCCCCCCTCACCCCCCTTCTCCTCCTCCCCACCTTCCACCCTCACCCTCACGTCTCATCCCCACCTCTCACCCCTCCCCTCCTTCTCCCCTCACCTCCCCCACCCCTCTCACCCCTCTCCCAAACCCCCCTCCTCTTCTAACCCCTCTCTCCCCCACCTCTCACCCCTCCCCATTCTACCTTCCCCTCACCTCCCCACCTTCACCTCCCCCACCTCCTTCCCTCCCTCCACCTCCTTTCCCCCCCCCTCCCTTCCCGCAGCGCCTACACGAGCCTGGTGCAGGACCTGGCGACCGTGATGCTGCGGACCAACCCCGAGCGCCGCCCCACAGCCGACGCCCTCCTCATGCTGCCCGCCCTCAAGCCTTACGTCGAAAATTATTGCTGAAGGTAATGGGCGGGGAAGGGAGGGAGGGTAGGGGAAGGAGGGAGGGAAGGGGGAAAGAGGGGGGGGAGGAGGAAGGAGGTGGTGGGGAGGGGAGGGAAGGGGAAGGATGGGAGGAGGAGGGGAGGGAGGGATGGGGGAGGAAGGAGGGGAGGGAGGGAGAGAGGGAGGGAAGGGGGAAGGGAGGTAGAGGGAGGGGGGGAAGGGAGGTAGAGGGAGGGGTAGGAGGAAGAAGGAAGAGGGAGGGAGGGGAAGGGAGGTAGAGGGAGGGGGGGAAGGTAGAGGGGGGGAGGGGTTAGGAGGAGAGGAAGAGGGAGGGAGGGGGAAGGGAGGGAATTTTTATCGAGTGGGAAGAGGAGGGAGGAAAGGTGAAATAGATGGCGTTATGACTACTTCACTTTCTCTTACTATTCCTTTTTTTTGCTTTCTCCTTCTCCTCTTACTCCTCCTCCTCTCCTCTTCTCCTTCTGCTCCATCTCCCCCTTCTCCTCCTCCACCTCCTCTCTTCCTTCTCCTCCCCTCTCCTCCTTCTTTCCTCCTTCCTCTTCTCCACCTTCCTACCTCCTCCTTCCTCCTTCCTCCTTCCTCCTTCCTCTCCTCCACCTCCTTCCTCCTTCCTCTCCTCACCTCCTCTCTTCCTTCACCTCCCTCTCTTCCTTCACCTCCCTCTCTTCCTTCACCTCCCTCTCCTCCACCTCCCTCCTCCACCTCCCTCTCGGAATCCTTCACCTCCCTCTCCTCCACCTCCCTCTCTTCCTTCACCTCCCTCTCCTCCACCTCCCTCTCCTCCACCTCCCTCTCGGAATTCCTTCACCTCCCTCTCCTCCACCTCCCTCTCTTCCTTCACCTCCCTCTCCTCCACCTCCCTCTCTCCCTCTCGGAATTCCTTCACCTCCCTCTCCTCCACCTCCCTCTCTTCCTTCACCTCCTCCTAATCCTCCTAATCCTCCTCCATCTTCACAGATATTTTCACACAGAATTTGCTATTTAAAATATATACAACCCTTCCCTTCAAATCCCAGGATTTTGATAATCAATATATATTAATCATTTCCTCCATTTATCCAATCTATTTTCTTCCTCTCATTTATCCATTATCCTATCATCGAAAAAAGTTAAATATTTCATTATATTTTCCGTTATGTCGTTTGTCCATTATCCTATTATTGAAAGAGTTTGATATTTTCTTTATTTTTTCCATTATCCTATTGTCGAAAAAGGGTTAAATATATTCTTTATTATTCCCCATTATCCTATTATTGAAAATGATTTTGATAGTTTATTTTTTCCATTATCCTAATATCGAAAAAGAGTTAGATATTTTCTCTATTTTCCCCATTATCCTATTATGAAAAAGATATTATCCTTATATTTTCTTTTACATCTTTATATCTTCTTTAGTTTCTCTATTTTCCCATTATCATATCGAAAAAGAATTAAATATATTTTCTTTATTTTTCCCATTATCCTAATATCGAAAGAGTTAAATATTTTCTTTATTTTTCCCATTATCCTATTATCGAAAAAGAATTAAATATATTTTCTTTATTTTTCCCATTATCCTATTATCGAAAAAAAGAATTAAAAATATTTTCTTTATTTTTCCCATTATCCTATTATCGAAAAAGAATTAAATATATTTTCTTTATTTTTCCCATTATCCTATTATCGAAAAAGAATTAAATATTTTCTTTATTTTTCCCCATTATCCTATATCGAAAAAGAATTAAATATATTTTCTTTATTTTTCCCATTATCCTATTATCGAAAAAGTTAAATATTTTCTTTATTTTCCCATTATCCTATTATCGAAAAAGATATCCTTATATTTTCTTTATTATATCTTCTTTAGTTTCTTTATTTTACTCCATTATCATATTTATAGAAAAAATATTATCCTTATATTTTCTTTACATCTTCGTTATATATTCTTTAGTTTCTCTATTTTCCCATTATCCTGTCATCGAAAAAGAATTAATATATTTCTTTATTTTTACCATTATCCTATTATCGAAAAAGTTAAATATTTTCTTTTCTTTCCCCATTATCCTATTATGGAAAAAAAATTATCCATATTTCTTTACATCTTTATATCTTCTTTAGTTTCTTATTTTTCCCCATTATCCTGTTATCGAAAAAGAATGAAATATATTTTCTTTATTTTTCCATTATCCTATTATCGAAAAAGTTTTCTTTTCTTCTCTCCATTATCCTATTATGGAAAAATATATTATCCATATATTTTCTTTATATCTTCTTTAGTTTCTTTATTTTTCCCATTATTCTATTGTCGAAAAGGTTTAATATTTTCTCTATTTTCGCCATTATCCTATTATTTAAAAAAGTTAAATATTTTCTCTATTATTCCCCATTATCCTATTATAAAAAAACATATTATCCTTATATTTCTTTTATATCTTCTTTAGTTTCTCTATTTTCCCCATTATCCTATTATCGAAAAAGATATTATCCATATATTTTCTTTACGTCTTCTTTATATATTCTTTAGTTTATTTTTTCCCATTATCATATTATAAAAAAAATATATTTCCTTATATTTTATTACATCTTTACTTTCTTTATTTTTTCCCATTATCCAATTATCGAAAAAGAGTTAAATATTTTCTTTTCTTCTCCCCAGCACGAGGAACTTCTCTCAAGCAGGACGTCGACAGCGTATACTTCTCAAGCGCAGAATAAAATAATTGCAAGGTGAGAAATGGTCTTTGTGGATGAAAGGAGGGGAGAGAGGAGGGTGGAGGGAGAGGGAGAGAGGGAGAGGGAGCGGGAGGGAGAGGGGAGGGGAGGGGGGAAGGAGGGTGAGGGGAAGGGGGAAGGGTGAGAGGGAGGGAGGGAGGGTGAGGGTGAGAGGGGAGAGGGGAGGTTAGAGGGAGGGAGGTAGAGAGAGGGGGGGTGGGTGGGTGAGGGAAAGGGAGGGAGGGAGGGTAAGAGGTAGGGTGGGTGGGTGAGGGAGGAGAGGGAGGTTGAGAGGGGAGAAGGGAGGGAGGGAGGTAAGGTGAGAGGGAGAAGGAGGGAGAAGAGAGAGGAGGGGAGAGAAGGAGGGTGATGGAGAGAGTAAGGAGGGAGGGGAGGTGGTGGGTGGGAGGGGAGAGGGAGGGACAGAGAGGGAAGGTGGGTGGGTGAGAGGGAGGGTAAGAGGTAGGGGAGGAGGAGGGAGGTTGAGAGGGAAGGAGGGAGGTAGGGAGTAGGTGAGAGGGAGAGGGAGAATGAAAGGGAGGAGGGAAGGAGGGATCCCACAAAGTCCTTTCCGTTTTGTTTTTTTTTTTTTTTTTTGTCTTCTTTGTCTTTGTCTTTGTCTTTTTCTTTCTTTTTCCCCTTTCTTTTCCTTTTCCTTTTCCTTTCCTTTTCCTTTTCCTTTTCCTCTTCCTCTTCCTCTTCCTCTTCCTCTTCCTCTTCCTCTTCCTCTTCCTCTTCCTCTTCCTCTTCTCTCTCTCCTCCTTCCTTTTTTCTTTTCTTTTCTTTTTGATGAATAAAAAAAAAAATTACCTCCCACAGTCTATCGAGAGAGCGCCAACCTCGACCGAGTCTCGACCTGAAAAGCGGCGTCGGTTCTCGGAGGGTGAGTGCCGGGTGCCCTTCCTGCAGCCACTGGTCGTGTGGGGTTGCAGTGGCTGTTGTTGTTGTTGTTTTCTTGTGGATAGTTGGATACTTTTTTTTACCGCTGTGTGAATGTTGTTGTTGTAGTTTTCTTGTAGATTGGTGGATACTTTTGTGTGTGTGTGGATGTTGTTGTTGTAGTTTGTTGTAGATTGGTGGTGGATACTTTTGTGTGTGGATGATGATGATGTTTGTTGTAGGTTTCTTGTAGATTGGTGGTGGATACTTTTTTGTGTGTGTGGATGTTGTTGTAGTTTGTTGTAGGTTTCTTGTAGATTGTTGGTGGATATATTTTTTTTTGTGTGTATGTTGTTGTTGTAGTTTTGTTGTAGGTTTCTTGTGGATTGTTGGGGGATACTTTTTCCTGTGTGTGTGGATGTTGTAGTTATTGGTGATGTAGGTGAGATGCTTGGATTTATCGTAGTTTATGCGTTTTTTTTTTTTTTTTTTGTTGTGGTGTGTGTGTGTGTGTGTGTGTGTTTGTGTGTGTGTGTGTGGTGTGTGTGTGTGTGTGTGTGTGTGTGTGTGGTGTGTGTGTTGTGTGTGTGTGTGATGTTATGTGTGTGTGTGTGTGTGTTGTGTGTGTGTGTGTGGTGTTGTGGTGTGTGTGTGTGTGTGTGTTATGTTTGTGTGTGTGTGTGTTGTGGTGTGTGTGTGTGTGTGTGTGTGTTGTGTGTGTATGTTGTGTTTGTATTGTGTGTGTGTGTGTGTGTATATGCGTGTGTGTGTGTGGTGTGTATATATGCATATGTATGCGTACGTCAAATTTTTAATACATGATACTTCCCCCCCCCTTTCCTTGGTTCCATAAACACGTGTTTGTATTGCTCTCATAGTTTACAGTACGTTGTCACAGCCACAAATGCTATCCAGTTGTAGTATGATGAATGTTATTGTATTGCTTAGTTCACACTGATGCAAGTGGGTGATTTTTTTTTCTCGTTTCTTTTATTTTATTTTCTCATTTTACTGTTCATTTTTGAAGATGGTAGAATACTCGTTCACTGAGTACGTCTTGTCTGTTGTATTTTCATACGTTGTAGCTTATTGTATCTTTTTAACCGTCGTAGTTGAACATTTTGCTGTATTTTTATCCGTTGTATCTTACTGCATTTCATCCGTTGTAGCTATCTTTATCCTCTTGTATTTTTCCTTTTTTATTCATTTATTTATCTATTTATCTATTTATTCATATTTCTTGCGTAGTTTGTCGTAGTCATTCACACGAAAGAATAATTCCGTGTGTTGCAGCGCGAGTAATGGCCTCAAGTGACACTCATTGCTGATGCTCAAGGACGACCTCCTGTATCGACGTTGATACTTTTGTTGTAGAACATCGATGGCTGAATTGGTATCGAATATTGGGAGAAACTGCTTAACCGGAATGGGTTAGGTAGTGTACGTGGGCGGGTGTTTGTGGGTGGCAGTCTGTTAGTCATTATGTGAGGCAGGCAGGCAGTTGTGAGTCCGTCAGTTTGACAAATGGTTTGAAAAAAGAAGAAAAATGTGTAAAAGCCTGCGTAATTTGTTTTATTCTTACGTGCAGTGTTTATTTTTTTGTAGGAAATTTATTATTATTGTGTGGTGACGGTAACTAGTGGTAACTATCGCTTTAACGTATTCCAAATAATTATTTTTGTTTGACTTACATTTCAATTTCCGACTTGGTGTTAATGCCAGGAATGTCAAGCGTTTAGGTCAAAGTGTTAAATAGAATATGGATGCGATGGTTTTCATAATCTGCATTGCAGCATCCTGAATTCATTTTTATTCACAGCTGTAAGATCAAACAACCAATATAAACAAACACGCACATGCACACGTTCACACACAGTCAGTCACAGTCCTCCTCTTGTTTTTCTTCCCTGGTGTAAACTAACGTAAATAAGGACCACAAACACCCAGCCTCGGGAAAAACACAAAGACAAACACGGTGCAAAACCACAAGCCAACACCAACACAACACCGACGCCCAGCATCAGCGAAGACGAAGAAATATGAAAAACACACCACATTAACTCAAGACACGACCGCCACTTAAGAATTAACTCGCTAAACAGGCTTCATTTCTCTCCCCCCCCCCTACCCCTAGGACTCGGATCTTCGGGAGGGCGTACTGAAGGCCGAGGTGCATCCGAGGCCCGTAGGAGGAGCAGGAGGACCCGAAGGAATGGGAATGCGGGAGCGGTGCGTCTCCGACTCGGCCATTCGTCGCGAGCCCTCCGTCAGCACACCGGTCACCGTGAAAGGCAACACCGCCCCGAGGATCCACGAAGGGCACCAAGGAAGTCCCTACCACCTTCAGCAGCACGACAGGGGCCAGCAGCAGGAAGGGAGCAACAGAACGACCGCTACGACGACGACCTCCACCTCCACGACGCCCACGAAGAAAGTCCCCCTCGTCGACGACAATCAGAACGTCCTTCCCGAAGAGCCGTCAAAAGGGGACGTCCCCGACTTCAGCGAAACGTACGTCATCTCGAAGTGTATTGGCCACGACTTCGACTGCGATAGTGTGTTCGAACTGTGAATCCAGTTATTTTTTAAGCCTGTGTTTTTTAAATGTCTTGGCTTGTGCGCTTTGATCAAGTTTTTGTATCGGTTTCAATTGTTTTTATTTGTATAAAGTTGTTTTAATCTAGTGGATTATATATGTGAATAAATAAGATATAATAATAACAAAATTGTATTTGTAGTTCTACCCAGAAGCTTTTGTGGTTGCACCTCGTATATTGCGCAAATTATCTTAACACATAAATTACTACTAAAGATATTTAATAACCCACTTAAGATATCGTGACACAAATTACTATCTCGTATCGAGATATCTCTATCACAGGACGCAAAAATAAGCAGAGGTTCTAGAGTTTATTTTTATTTACCCTTTAAATGACAAAATCGACTGAATATACTCGTATATATTATAAATACATTTTGGTTTATATATGCAGTCACCTCTGACAATGGTTGCTCGAAGTTAATGATAATTACAGCTACAGGATACATTAAGAACATGTTTTTTTTTCTTTACTTTTATTTTATTTCACCATACACAGTAATTAGAATAATTGTAAAATAGACTAGATGATATATATACCAGTTTTGTTCTTCTTGTAGTGACAATCCAAGCTGCTTTACTGCAATACAGACGCTGAAAAAATAGACATAGATAAATAAACAAGGAACATAAATAACAAACATTCCAATGAAAGAATAAAATTTGCAATAAAATACATCTACGTGGTTTGCGTAACGGAGATAAAATAATATCGTAACCTTGTAATTAATTTCGTAATATCGTTAAGTAAGGCTTATCAAGATGATTAAACCACAGGAAAGGTTCTCGCAATGCAACGTTGCACCTTTATGATTTACGACAAACGTTTGTATTCTGTATAGTGATCAAAATTTAACAAAAACCCAATGGCGTGCAGAAGTCTGGTGATGCCCGGGGCCAACTCCTTGAGTGTATGCCCAAAGACTCAAGTATAAGGCCTAGTTCTGAGAAATATAATGAGAAAGGGAGACGTTAATAATATGTTATCTCAGATGAAGTATGAAATACGCACTTTATTCGAATATAAATTTTAAAATCAATATCTTCCTTCTCTGATTGTATACCCCGCCCACCTCCCTCCCTCCCTCCCCTCCCCCTCCCCTCCCCTCTCCCTCTCCCTCTCCCCTCTCCCTCTCCTCTCCCTCTCCTCTCCTCTCCCCTCTCCCTCTCCTCTCCCTCTCCCTCTCCCTCTCCCTCTCCCTCTCCCTCTCCTCTCCCCTCCTCTCCCTCTCCCTCTCCGCTCTCCTCTCCCTCTCTGTACGCCACTGACAAATACACTTCAAATATTAAAGAAGACCGATCTCTGCACGCCACTTATAAATGCATTTCAAATATATATCATTTAAGAGGACCGATCTCTGCACGCCACTGACAAATACACTTCAAAATATATCATTTAAGAGGACCGATCTCTCTGCACGCCACTGGCAAATACACTTCAAATATTTAAGAAGACTGATATCTGCACGCCACTGACAAATACGCTTCAAATATATCATATAAGACCGAATCTACACGCCACTAACAAATACACTTCAAAATATATAATTTATGAAGACTGATATCTCTGCACGCCACTGACAAATACACTTCAAAATATATCATTTAAGATCCCTCTTCACGTCACTAACAAATACACTTCAAAATATCACTTCAGAAGCCCGATCTGGACTCACAGCATTCTCCGTCTCCCGCCTTGACCAACATCGCATCCTTACAAGCTGCGACGTCAAAGTGGCACTGGTTCCTGTAGGTGCCACCGTCGCTCCCGCAGACTGGCTGGTAATCCGTCGTGCACTGCTTCAAGTCACAGTTATCCGAATCTTTTGAGGATTGGGAAGAGAGGACATTAGTATGGGAGATTTTATCAGCTGTGTTTCGAGTACGTTGAAAGATGATTTAAAGGGACTTGAGCATTAAGAAATAGGAAGAAATAGAATGAATGAAGACGTTAACGCACATGAAATAGAAATTGTGACAGATGCAAAAACACATCTTGAAAAAAAAGTTTGTTCATCTTGAAAAAAGAGAGTTTGTTAATGTTTATTTTTCTGAAGACACCCTACACCTCAATAAAATAAAATGTACCCAATTCTTTTAGGTATATTTTATTGTCTTTTTAAGTATATCGTATGCCTAAAAAGACAAGATATACCTAAAAACAATAACAATACCCCCAAAATACATATACACACAAATAAATAAAATATACCCAAAAAGCAAACAACCCCCCCCAAAAAAAAAAAAACAACACAAAGCCCCCAAAACCACAAACAACCCCCCAAAACACACAAACAACCCCCCCAAAAAAAACACACCACACAAGCCACCCACCGCACTCTCCACTCCTCAGGACCCTCAACGACAGATCCCGGCAGCGGGCGTTGTCGAAGAGGCAGTCGTTCACGTAAGTCACTCCGTCACTCCCGCACACCGGCTTGTACTCTCGTGTGCACTCCGCCTTGGGACACTCCGGGGCTGTAGGTAAAAGGTTAAGGTAAATGGGGAAAGCAATCTATAGAGTAATAATGATAGGAATAGTAATAATAGGGATACTAATAATAGTAATAATAGGGATAGAATAGTAATAATAGGGATACTAATAATAGTAATAATAGGGATACTAATAATAGTAATAATAGGGATACTAATAAGAGTAATAATAGGGATACTAATAATAGTAATAATAGGGATAACTAATAAGAGTAATAATAGGGATACTAATAAGAGTAATAATAGGGATACTAATAAGAGTAATAATAGGGAACTAATAATAGTAATAATAAGGACACTAATAATAGTCATGAAGGGACACTGATATAGTAATGATAGGGATACTAATAATAGTAATAATAGGGACACTATAGAGATACTAATAATAGTATAATAGGGATACTATAATAGTAATAATAGAGGTAATAATAATAACTAATAATAGTAATAATAGGGATACTAATAATAGTAATAATGATAGGGATACTAATAATAGTAATAATGATAGGAATAGTAATAATAGGGATACTAATAATAGTAATAATAGGGAATATAAATAATAGTAATAATAGGATAGTAATAATAGGGATACTAATAATAGTAATAGGGGATACTAATAATAGTAATAATAGGGATACTAATAATAGTAATAATAGGGATACTAATAATAATAATAATAGGGATACTGATAATAGTAATAATGGGGATACTAATAATAGTAATAATAGGGATACTAATAATAGTAATATTAGGGATACTACTAATAGTAATAATAGGGATACTAATAATAGTAATAATGATAGGAATAGTAATAATAGGGATACTAATAATAGTAATAATAACAGTAACTAATACAATAAAATATGAATAATAATAGTTAATAATAAAAGTAATAGTAATAAATACAACAGTCATCATATATTATGATTTAAACATGTGACTAGTAACTAATGCTTACAAATGATAATGTTTGCAAACATTTCCTAAAACTTTTTTATGAAAAACAATTCCGAACCTCTCTTTAATAAGCAAACAAATCTACATTTTTTTCTATAAACAAACAAATTCGCAACCTTTATTTTCACAAACAATATCCCACAACTTTTTTAAACAAACCAACCCACAACCATTCCTTTTATTAAACCGAAACCCTTTTTTCCCTTCTTAAAACAAACCCGAACTCACCGCACTGACAATTGGCCACTTTGTAGAGCTCCGGCTTCACGCAGATCTTGGCCTCGAGAGCACAGTCGTTCTCGTACGTCTTGCCGTCGCTGCCACACACGGGGTCGTACGGCTGCTGGCAGGTGGTCGTCGCGCACTCCCGTTGGTTGTCTGAGGAGGAGGGGGGGGTTGTCGTATGAGGGAGGGAGGGGAGGGGGGAGGGGGATAGGGGAGGGGAGGGGAGGGGAGGGGGGGCAGGGAGGGAGGGGAGGATAGGGGGAGGGGGGGGGACGGAGGGAGGAAGGTGGAGGGAGGTGAGGGGGAGGATAGGGGAGAGGGAGCGGGGAAGGGGGAGGGGAGGAGGATAGGCGAAGGACGGGTAGTGTTAGGTTTTAGGTTAGGTTAGGTTAGGTTTAGTAGTAGGTTAGGTTAGGTTTCAGGTTGGGATTAGGTAGGTTAGGGGTTAGGTTGGGTGGTTAGGTTAGGTAGGTTAGGTTGTAGGTTACGGTTAGGGTTAGGTTAGTTAGGTAGGTTTTAGGTTAGGTGAGGGTTAGGGTTATGGGGGTTTTAGGTTAAGTTAGTTAGGGTTGTTAGCTAGGTTAGGTTACGGTATTAGGTTAAGGTTAGTTAGGGGTTAGGTAGGTTATAGGTTAGGTTAGGTTCCAGGTTAGGTTAAGTTTATGGTTAGGGGTGGTTAGGTTAGGTTCAGGTTAGGTTAAGGTTAGGCCTTAGGGACTTAGGTTAGGTTAGGGTTAGGTTAGGTTAGGTTTAGGTTAGTTTAGGTTAGGTTAGGTTAGGTTAGGGTTCAGGTTTAGGGTTAGGTTAGGTTAGGTTAGGTTAGGGTTAGGTTAGTAGGTTAGGTTTAGGTTAGTTTTCAGGTTAGGTTAGGTTAGGTTTGAGGGGTTGAGTTTAAGGTTAGTTAGGTTAGGTGTTAGGTTAAGTAGGTTAGGTTAGGCTTAGGTTAAGGCTTGAGGTTAGTGTGTAGGGTTAGGGGTTAGGCTTAGGTTTAGGTTAGGGTTTAGGTAAGGTAGGGTTAGGTTAGGTTAGGGTTTAGGTTAGGCTGTAGGGTTAGGCTAGGTTATGGTTTAGGTTGGGTTAGGTTAGGTTAGGTTAGGTTTAGGTTTAGGTGTAGGTTGGCGGTTTGTTTGAGGTTTAGGTAGGGTGTTTAGGGTTTAGGTTGAGGTTAGGTTAGGTTATGGTTAGGTTAGGTTGGCCTTAGGTTAGGCAGGTATAGGGTAGGGTAGGGGTTAGGTTAGGTTAGGTAGGTTAGGTTATGCGTTAGGTAGTAGGTTAGGTTTAGGTTAGGTTAAGGTAGGTTAGGCTTAGTAGGTAGGTAGGTCCTAGGTTAGGTTAGTTAGGTTAGGTTTGGTTAGGTTAGGTTAGTAGGTTAGGTGACGGTTAGTTAGGTTAGGTTAGGTTAGGTAGGTTGTTAGGGTAGTTAGGTTAGGTTAGGGTTAGGTGGTCTAGGTTAGGTTAGGTTAGGTTAGGTTAGGGTATGGTTAGGTTAGGTTAGTTAAGGTTAGGTTAAGGGTGAAGGGTTCAGGGTGTAGTGTTGGGTGGTTAGGTTAGGTTAGGGTTAGGGGTTAGGGTAGGTTTAGTTATGGTTAGGTTAGGTTTACGGTTAGGGTTAGTTAGTTAGGTGTAGGTAGGTTAGGGTTAGGTTTTAGGTTAGGTTAGGTTACGGTTAGGTTAGGTTAGTGTAGGTTTAGGTTAGGTTAGGGTAGGAGGTGTAAGGGTTAGGGTTAGGTAAGGTTAGTAGGTTTAGGTTAGAGTTAGGTTAGGTTAGGTTAGGTTTAGGGTTAGGTTAGGTTATAGGTTAGGTTAGGTTAGGTTATGGTTAGTTAGGTTAGGTTAGTTAAGGGGTTAGGTAATTGGGTGAAGGGGTAGGGTAGGGGTTAGTTAAGGGTTAAGGATTAGGTTTATGGTTAGGTTTAGGTTTGGTTAAGGTTAGGGTTAAGGGTTAGTTTAGGTTAGGATTAGTTTAGAGTTAGGTTATGTTAGGTTAGGATTAGGGTAGTTAAGGGTAGGGATGTAGTAGGAGTTAGGAGGTTTAGGTTAGGTAGGCGGAAATTGGGGTTAGGTTAAGGTTAGTAAAGGTTAGGTTAGGGAGGTATAGGTTAGGTTTAAAAGGTTAGGTTAAGGGTTAGGGGTTAGGTTAAGGTAGGTTAGGGTTAGGTTAGGTGTAGGGTTAGGTTAGGGTTAGGTTAGGGTTAGGGGTTGGGTAGGTTAGGTTAGGTGGGTTAGGGTTTAGGTTAGGGTGGGTTAGGTAGGGGGTTAGGTAGGTTAGGTTAGGTTAGTTAGGTTAGGTAGGTTAAGGTTAGGAGGGTAGTTAGATAGGTTGGGTTAGGTTTAGGTTAGGTTAGGGGTTAGGTTAGGTTAGGGTTAGGTTTAGGTTATGGTTAGGGGGTTAGGGTTACGGTTAGGTAGGTTGGGATTAGGTAGGTAGGTAGGTTAGTTAGGTTAGGTAGGTTAAGGGGTTAGGGTTAGGTTAGGTTAGGTTAGGTTTAGAGTTAGGTTAGTGTTAGGTTAGGTTAGGCTTAGTTAGGTTAGGTTAGGTTAGGTAGGTTAGGTTAGGTTTTAGGTTAGGTTTAGGTTAGGTTAGGTAGGTTAGGTTAGGGGGAGGTTGTTTAAGGCTTAGGTTTAGGTTAAGGTTAAGGTTTAGGTTAGGGGTTAGTAGGTTCAGGCTTAGGTTAGGTTAGGTAGGTTAGGTAGGTTAGGTTAGGTTAGGGAGTTAGGTTAGGTGTAGGGTTATTTAGGTTAGGTAGGTTAGGTAGGGCTTAGTTATGGTTATTTAGTTATGGGGGTTAGGTTAGGTTAGGTTAAGGTTAGTTTTAGGGGTTAAGGGTAGGGGTTAACAGGTTATTAGTAGGTAGGTTTAGGCTTAGTTGGTTTAAGGTAGGTAGGTTAGGTTAGGTTAGGAGGTAGGTTAGGTTTGGTTGAGGTTAGGTTAGGTTAGGGGTTAGTTTAGGAACGTTAGTTAGGGTTAGAGTTAGGTAGGTTAGGTTAAGCGTTACGGTTAGGCGGTTAGGTTATCGGTTAGGTTAGGGTTAGGTTAGGTTAGAGGGTTTTATGGTTAGTGGGTTAGGCGTTAAAGTGGGTTAGAGGAGGTACAGTTAGGGTAGGCGAGGTAGGAAGAGTGTAGGGTTTAAGTAGGTTTGGTTCGGTGGTTAGTTAGTTAAGGTTAGGTTAGGTTAGGTTTGGTTAGGTAATGTAGGTTAGCGTTGGGCGTAGGTAGGTTAGGTAGGGCGTAGGTTAGGATTAGGGTGAGGTTAGGTAGGTTAGGAGTAGGTCGTTAGAGTTAGGTTAGGTTGGTTAAGGGTTAGGTAGGTTATTAGGTAGGTTTAGGTAGGTTAGGTTTGGTTAGGTTCAGTTAGGTAGGTTAAGATTACATAATCACAGGTTTTAGGGTAGGTAGAGGGTTAGAACGGATGAGGGACACTTAGCACAATCGTATATAGTGGTTTAGGTTAGGTTAGGATATAGGTTAGAGGTTAGGGGTAAGGGGTTAGGTTAATCGAGGTTAGGGGTTAGGTTAGGTTTAAGTGAGTTAGGAATTTTAGGCATTAAGGTTTAGGATAGGGTAGTTAGGTTAGGTAGTTAGGTTGGTTTAAAGAAGTAGAGGGGTTATAACTAAGAAGGTCTCTTTAAAAGGGCGGCGAGAGTTATGGGGTTAGGGTTAGGCTTACGTTTAGCTTTAAAGGTTAGGGTTAGTTACCCGTGTTAGGTATTACGGTTAGGTTTAGGTTAGTTAGGTTAGGTTGATCAGGTTTTAGGTTAGGTTAGGTTCAGGTATGGGTTAGCGTTAGGTTACGGTTAGGTAGGCGGTTACGTACGGAATTTTATGGGTTAGGGGGGATTCGTGACATTCACCGCCGCCTATCCCACAGGCCATCACACAGCCACGTAGCTCCTCAATGCCCCTTTTCTGTAAGCTGAACCCGAAGTGCTAATAAGGGGAGGGGGGGAGGAGGGGGGAGGAGGGGGGGTACAGGTGGCTTGCCCCTCCGTCTAGGGGAATAGATAGAAGGTAAGAAAAGGCTAGGTTGGGTTTTTGGGTTCGTATGAGACCCTGGTTTTGTGACTTAGGCTCTGCGGGAAGAGTTACTGGTGGATGGAGGGGAAGGGGGGGAGTGGATGGAAAAAGGAGGAGGGGAAGGGGGAGAGAATGTTGAGGGAAAAGAAAAGGGAGATAGGGGAAAGGAAGAAGGAGAGGGAGAAAGAGGAAGAAAGAAAGAGAAAAGGGGAAAGAGAGAGAGAGAAAAGAAAAAAAAGAGAGAGGAAAAGAAAAGAAAGAGAAAAGAAAAGAAGAGAGAGAAAAGAAAAGCGGAGAGGAGACACAAGAAAAAGAATAGAAGAGAATCAGACACAACCAAACAGCCAAACCTCTCACCACAACCACCAAACACAACCAAAAACCACAACCAAACCACGAACCACAACGCCCGTGTCGGACTTTCGTAATCGTCGGGTTGTTGCAAGTTGCAATGTCGAACGTGCAGTGGTTCGGATACGTGATTCCGTTGCTGCCACAAACGGGGTCGAACTCCGCCGTGCACTGACGGTTGCATTTCGGATCCATCACTGAAAGGGGAGGTGCGGGTGTGAGAAGCAGTGGTGGGGAAGGAGGTGAGGGGGGGGGAAGTTGTTTGTGGGGGGGAGGGGGGGAGTTGTGTGGGGGGGGAGGTGAGAGGGGTGAAAGTTGTGTGTGGGGGGGGGGTGAAAGTTGTGTGTGGGAGGGGTGAAAGTTGTGTGTGGGGGAGGTGAGGGGGGGTGAAAATTGTGGGGAGGAGGTGAGGGGGGTGAAGTTGTGTGTGAGGGGAAGTGGGGAAATGTAGGGGAGGGGGTGACAGTTGTGTGTGTGGTGGGGGAAGTGGGTGGAAGTGGGATGAAAGTTTGTGTGGGGAGTGGGGGGAAGGGGGATGAAAGTTGTTGTGGGGGAGTGGGGGGGGAGGGGAATGAAAGTTGTGTGGGGGGGGAGTGGGGGGGAAGGGGGATGAAAGTTGTGTGTGTGGGTGGAGGGGAGGGGAAATCTGGGGGATGGGGATGAAAGTTGTGGGTGGGGGGGGGAGTGGGGGAAGTGGGATGATAGTTGTGTATGTGTGGGGGGAGAGTGGGATGAAAGTTGTGGGGAGGGGGAGGGGGATGAAAAAGGTGTGTGTGTGGAGGGGGGGGGAAGTGGGGGAAATGTGGAGGGGGAAGTGGAAATGAAAAAGGTGTGTAGAGGAAAAAGTGTGGGGGGGTGAGGAATAAAATAAGGAGAAAAAGTGGGGAAGACTGGAAATAAAAAAAACATGGTGGGGGGAAAAGTGGAAATGAAAAAGGTGTGTGTGTGTGGGGGGGGGGAAGTGGGACGGGGAGTGGGGGGGGGAAGTGGGACGGGAGTGTGGGGGGGGGAAGTGGGACGGGGAGGTGTGAGGGAAAAGTGAAGTAAATGGAGGGGGGGGGGGAGTGAAAATGAAAAAAGGATGTGGGGAAAAAAGCGGGGTGGGGGGGGGGGAAGGTGTAATAAGGACTTTGTAGGGCGGAACATGGGGGGGACTGTGTGTGTGGGGGGGGGGGAATTGTTGGGGGAAGAGGGGAAGAAATTATTGGGGGGAGAAGTGAAGGAGATAAAGCGTGAGGGAGGAAATGCGTGGGGAATCTGTGTCGGAGGAGGGAAAAGTACGGGGAATGAATTAAGTATTTCTGTTTGTAGAAGTGTAATTTAATGACCTTATTGATTAAAATTATGATTAAAATTATGATTAAAAAATTCAATTGTGCTAGAAAAAAGAGAAAACATTCAACACAAAACGAAAACAAAATCTAGCATAAACAAAAAACAAAACAAAACAAAAAAACATTCAGTACTGACGAAAAAAATATTTATCACATATAAAAAGATTAAAAAAAAAAAAGTTAGCACGATATAAAACGAAAAAAAATCTAGCACATATAAAACAAAAGAAAAATATCCAGTACTTATAAAACAAATACAAAAACATTCAAAGACATAATCGAAAACAAAAAAACACCATATATAAAACAAAATATGGAACAATTAAAAACAAAAAAACTCCAGAATATATATATATATATATATATATATATATATATATATATATAATATATATATATATATATATATATATATATATATATATATATATATATAACATCCACTAATAAAACGAAAAATACATTAAAAAAAATCCAGTATATCAGGAAAAAATCAACTCTAAATGAAAAAAAGGAGAAAAAAAACACGTACATAAATAAAATAACACAAACAAAAGAACGAAAAGAACAGCATACTTAAAAACATTCAACGCAAAAAGAAAAAAAAGATCAGAACCTCCACACTCACAAACAAAAACAAAAAACAAAAACACAAAGAAAAACACCGCACTCACGACAAGCGCACATGGCCAGCATCCTGACATCCGGGTCCCTGCAGGCGGCCACCTCCAACTCGCACTCGTTGCTGTAGGTTTTCCCGTCACTCCCGCACACCGGCTGGAGGGTGAAGGGGCACTCGCGGGAGCAGGCGTCGCTGGTGGCTGGTGGGTGAAGGGAGGAGGGTGAGTGGGGGGAGTAGGGGAAGGGAGAGGGTGAGGGGAGTAGGGGAAGGAGAGGGTGAGTGGGGGAGTTGGAGTGAGGGGGGAGGAGAGGGAGTGGGTGGGTGGGAAGAGGGAGTGGGAATGAGGGGGGGAAGGGAGAGAGTGAGTGGGGGGAGAGGGAGGGTGAGTGAGGGGAAAGGGGAGAGGGTGAGTGGGGGGAGAGGGAGGGCTGAGTGAGGGGAAGGGGAGTGAGGGTTAGTGGGGAGGGGAAGGGGTGGGAGAGTGGGGGAAGGGAGGTGGTGAGTGGGGGTGGGGGAAGGGGAAGGGAAGGGGAGGGGAAGGGGAAGGGGAGGGGGAGGGGGAGGTGAAGGGAGGTGGGTGAGTGGGGGGAGGAGGAGGTGGAGGAGTGGGGGAGTGGGAGGGTAGATTGGGGAGAGGGGTTAGGTGGTGGGGAGGAGAGGGGAGTGGGGGAAGGGGAGGGGTAGTTGAGGGAGAGGGATTAGGTTTTGGGGGGAGGGGAGAGGGGTGAGTGATGGAGGAGGAGGTGGGGAGTGGGGGGAGGAGAGATGGTGAGTTAGGGGAGTGGGGGAAGGGAGGTTTAGGTTTG